ACTGAGAAAGGGCACTCCACATACGCTCATGACTTGAGTGGAGAAGCTGGCCATTGCCAGGACTCCAATGACGTATTTACAAAAGATCTCGAGGCCACTGCCTTTTTAACCTTCGAGGAGGATTGTAAGGATGGATGAAGGATTGTGCTAAGGGATTAGGATGATGGATTAGGTTTTGATGAAAATTTGAGAAACGGGATGGAATAACGTCAAGGACATAAGGGATGTTAAGATCATGATGTAGAGTTTTGTTTGTAACATAATAAGGAGCATTTACTATTGAACGAAGGACTTTGGACTGGAAGGATTGGATGCGTTTGATGTTTGAAAATTTAGTTGTCCCCCACAGTTCAACTTCATAGGTTCAGATGGGTTTCAGTATGGTCTTGTATATTAATAGTTTGTTTTCAATTGAGAGGTTAGATTTTCTGTTAAGTAGTCTGTATAACTGGCCAAATCTTTGTTTAAGTTCTTGTCTTTTAAGTCTGGTATGTGGGTTCCATGTTAATCTTTTGTCTAAAAGGAATCCAAGATACCGAACTGTGTCTAAGATGGGAAGAGGTTACTTACTGTGTAGCTCTACAGCCAAGGGTGGGCCTTAGCTTCCTGAATTATAGCATGCCAATCATCTCTATTGCTCGTTCTTTACTTCTAATTTCTCACACCTAGTGTTCTAAGGTCGCTCTCAACATCTTGTAGCCATCTTTTCCTTGGTCTTCTCTTTCTTTTTGTGCCATACATTGTGGAGAACAATGCCCTATAAGGCTTCTTGCTGTAGTCCATTCTAACCACGTGGCCTAACCATTCCTAAAATTTATTGAGGTAAGGCCACATGGGTTTTGTATGGTAGAGATAGGCATATTTATATTCAAAAATATAAATACGAATACTATTTATATTTATGGCACTTTTGAATATGAATATGAATATATTTATATTCATAAAAAGAAACATGAATACAGATGATAGGTATTCACAGCTTTAAATATAAATACGGCCGTATTCACTACTTTAAAAGTGGATATGGCTGTATTTACAGTTATACAAGTGAATATGGCTGTATTCACGTTTATTAAAATGAATACACTTAAATATACAGAAGTAAATGGAAATATATTCACACAACCTTATGAATGAATACTCTTATTTATTAAATAAATATTAATTTATTTGTTACTTTAGATATTTTCCAAAATAAAACAAAAAAAGTATGAAAACTTTAGTAAAGTATGCAAAACTTTAGTAAAGTATGCAGAACTTTATTTTAAGTTCTGGTCAGTAAAAGGTTTATTGAATAAATCTCTTAAAAAATGTTATAATAATGTTAAAAAGTTGGCATTTGCTAATTCAAAATGATGTATAAATAAATGTTTAATTGTATTAAACATAAAATTATAATTATGTATATGTTAAGATCTTAGGAGGGTTCTAATTATGTAAACTAAAGTCAATTAAGGAAATTGGAAAAGTTGACTAGATGACTAAGCTACTGCTTAGATATATATATGTATTTTACCAGGCTCTATGTCCCTATTACAGAAATTTTAGTTAATATTTAATGATAATTATATGCAGCAATGATTAATTAATGACATTCTTTAATTTTTACGTGAAGATTTTATTACATTTCCGGTAGCAAATATAAAAGTGATGAGTTTATCTCACTGACTCAAACGTTTTAAACAAATAAAACTATGAAACATATTCAGTTGGTTCGTTAATATATTTTCAAATACAACCATACACACAAAAAAAATATATTTACCATATATATCATTTTATTTATATATTTAGTATTATATTCTTCATTTTACTATATGTTATTTTAATTATGTTACAATGTATTTTGTTATGTTAATTATCACTTGTAATTGTTGTACGTAATATAAATTCCCGAAACCTTTTTTTGGGAGTATCCATCCTCCCTTCCTCCTCCCCCCTACCAGAACGGAAAATCTGGGTCTTTGGTCCTTTCGGTGCACTGTTTACTTAGGGGTTGCTGATAAAGATAACTTTAATGAAGGTCAGGGTAGGCACAACAGTTGGAACGATACCCTGGAAATTTCAAGAGGGAATACGGATACATGGCACCCTTTGGATGAAGCTAAGGAAGGAGCAAGAGCAGTCAAATTTGGATACTGACCTTTCTGGACCTGCCGTTCAGTAAAGTAATAAAGTAAAAGTGAGTAATAAAGGTGTGGCTTTATGTGTTAATGTGTTAAGTTTTGCATTTAAAACAATGTATGAAATTGATTGCGAAACTGAGTCTGTTTCTTTATCACAGGCTCTTGTAGTTTGGATCAGGATTTTGACTTTAGTGAGTATTTTCAAGACAGTACCTGCTCTTTAACAAAATTGAGGTTCTCTGTACGAGTCGCGTTGAATAGAACTTTTTTTAAAAACTATTAAGTAATAATATAAAATTGATTTCACAAGAAATACATAAATTTAATTAGTTTCGCGTTTTATGTTTAAAATGTCCTGTGTAATTGATAAGTGACATAAGCATTAAGTGTTTAATAATTTTTACAAGAATACATTTCTATTTTGTTTAAGCATTTAAAAATGTAACATTTACCAGAGTAAGTGCCAAATATATTATTTTTTTTCTTTTTAATAAAAATAAATTGTAGAAAGTGATTAAAAAACAATAAAAGACAATTATTTATGATACTTTTATTTTGTTTTAAAAATATCCCATACTTTATTAGCATATTATTTTATTTTATTTATTATTAATTTTTTTTAAACATTTCCGAAAGTTTATATATATATATATATATATATATATATATATATATATATATATATAATATATATATGTATATATATATATATGTACACATCTATTCAAATCAGTTGAAATAAAATTACTTTATTCTGGGACAAAGTCCCTTTAGAATAACAAAATAGAACATAATTAAATACTACATGTGGCCAAAATAAAACAATAATAAAAAAGAGAAAGTATAGAAAATATTAGTTAAACAAGCTATATACAAAAAAAATCTGTTCTGATTAGATCAGTTCAAATAATCTTAACATCTTCATAATTATAATTTTATGTTGAATAAAACTAAACGTTTTTTGTATACATAATTTCGTAATTTCACCAACCTTTTAACACTATTCCAATATTTTTTAAAAGATTTATTTAATAAACTTCTTACTGTCCAGAACTTTATTTTAAGTTTTGCATACTTTTTTTGTTTTATTTTGGAGAATACCTAATGTAACAAATAAATTAATATTTATTTAACAAATAAGAGTATTCAATAATAAGATTGTGTGAAAATATTTCCATTCACTTCTGTAAATTTCAGCGTATTCATTTTAATAAACGTGAATACAGCCTTATTCACTTGTACAACTGTAAATACAGCTGTATTCACTTTTTAAGTGGTGAATGCGGCCGTATTTATATTTACACCTGTGAATACATATCATCTGTATTTATGTTTCTTTTTATGAATATAAATATATTCATATTTATATTCTAAAGTGCCATGAATTTAAATGATATTCGTATTTATATGTTTGAATATAAATATGCCCATCTCTGTTGTATGGTAGAGAAAAATTCGAAATTCACTTAAAATTTACGAAAGTCGTCCGCCATTAGTTCAAAACTTTTATAACTTGCTTTATTATTCATAAACTGTGGCTAATTATACAGATAAAATATTTTATTAAAGCTAATTTAGCAGTCATAGGAATGAAAGAGACTTCTTTAAAGTGATTTTAACCGTGCAGAAACAGCTTGTAATGCATAACCTTTCAGTGAATCAATGTAATTAAGTTCTTCTCTAGCCGGTAATTGTTTTCTTTCATATTTCGGTTTAATTTTTAAAACTGTTATTACTGATGCACGGATTTTTAATTTAAATTTCATTATATGTGCGTAATTAAAATGTTATAAAATGCTCTATATCCGATTTGACAGTCAGGTTAGAAGTTACATTAATCAAACAAAGCGTGTAGTTTTAACTTCATTTGTTATATTCTTTATTTTCATAATTTGTACGGTTTTTGATTTATAACTTTATACCATTATTATATTTTTTTCTCTTCCTTAACGGAGATAATTTTCTAAATAATCCTATTGTGTTTATTAATACTTACTTACGTATTTGTTAGTACATTTTTGAAGTGTTATACACTTTTAAAAGATTGTGCAACATCTCTGACATGTTTGTTTAGTATTCATGTTTATCAGTTGCATAAGGTTTATTTTGGGTAATTCTAAAGATTGAAAAACTATTTACGAATATATTAATACATTTGTCATTTTAATTATTAAATGTATTCAGTTATTTTCTTGTTTTTAAATTAACAAATGAAATATATTAAAATTTACTTATCATTAATTATACAATTGTAGGTGTGTGTAAAGTAAAAAAGTATACATTGATTCAAAAGATTGGTTTATTATTATATGTATGCAAAAACGTTGATGAAAACTCTTGAAATATTTGAGAGTTTAAATTACAAAAATTGATAGCCAGGTTATAGAGCCCAAATTTCTTATGAACTAAAAATTTGGTTTACTAATGTTGTTTTTATGTGTGATGTAATTTTTTTTAATAGTTAGTCTTTATCAGATATTCATATATCATAGGCACTCTTGTATTGTAGGATTTCATTCATTTTTTGTTTTGTTAAATGAATGTTTTTGCCTGTGGTACAAAGTTGGTTGTTGGGAATTCGTATTATCAAAATTCAAACTAAATAGAGTAGAGACTAAATTAAAGTAAACAATAAATTTTATTATATTCAGGGTTGCCATGCAACCTTTCTTGATTAGTAATATGCTTTAATTTGTTGTTATTTTATAATAGAATATATTATTATATAATATATTAAGATATGTTATAATCGTTTCTATTAACTTGTTAATTTTATAAGCTATAATTTATATTTTATTGTTTATAATTATTATATACTGTTATTCTCTGTATTTAATTGAATTAAGCAATCCTTTTTAATTTTTTTTTTAGAACATGCCTCAAGTTATTATTTATGATGTGTCAGATTCGGAGGATGAAACCGAACAAGCAAAGGTACTTTAATATTTATATTTATTTAATTAAATATGGCGTTTTTATTGAACTGTTTTTAGTTAATGTATTGTCCTCATTTGATTCGTCCATAATAGGTTGTTGAAGTGGGATGTACTTTTTATTTTCTACATTAATGTAATTATGTGGTTTATTACAGTCCTAATGATGTCTAAATTGGAAAATTGTGAACTGATTAATTATTAAGTACTATTAACTCTTCTCATTAACTCCCAATTCCTCTTGGCACATTTCTATGAATTCCTTGATTATTTCCTCCATATCTTTTATCACATTATTGCTGTATCTGAAAACTGGATCAAACCAAATGTTCCTTTTTCCTCTTTATCCATCCCTAACTATGCCCTCATTCGTCATGATCGAACGGACTGAACAGATGGAGGTGTCGGTCTTTATGTCCATGAAAATCTTCAAAAACGGCAAAAATTCTTCAAAATCTCCCTCTGTTGAAATTCTTCATTTAGAATACATATTTGTTGAAATTTCCTTCTATTAATTTTCCTTCTTTATGTTTTTACATACTGCTCTCCTCAAGTTTGATATGATCCTGCTTTTGAATCCTCTCTTTTCTCCTTCGTTCCTTTATACAGTAATGTAATAATAACTGGTGACTTTAACACTAATTTTTGCTCTGATTCTTCCAACAAATCATACCTTGTAGGCCTAATTTACTCCCTTGACCTTTTTATCATTCCTTTTCAACTCACTCGCCATACTCAGTTCTCAAGTACATTGCTCAATCTTTTTATAATCGATTCATCCCGAAATTTATTATCCTCCCCTCAGAATCCAGTATCCTTCCTTTCATGTCATGGCATCATTAAGGTCTCCTATAACGTCCCAACTCCAAAGCTCAATACTTAGCAAATTTCCTGGTGAACCTCGACTCATTGACCTCTGAAAAATAAAACCATTTTTTGATTCACTATCCCAATCATTAAAACCTATTTATTCCTATTCTGCCATCGATGAAATGCTGAATTGCCTTTCATCCAATCTTCTCCTATTCCTTAATCATCACACACCCCTAAAAACCTCAACTTTCTGATGCCCTGCTGCTTCCTGGATTAGTAACAAAATCAGAGAGTTGATGAAGAAAAGAGACACTGCTTGGAGGTGTTCTTTCAAAACCACTTGAAAGACTAGTCCATTCACAGCTAAACACCTTCCTAGAGCATAACGCTCTCCTTAATTCCCTCCAATCCGGTTTCTTATCTCACTTTTCCACTCAATCTGCCTTGCTAAAAGTCACCCAAGACCTTCAATTCTCTGTAGACAAACACAGAAAATCTCTGTCCTGGTTTTCTTTAATTTTTCAAAATCTTTTGATTCAGTCAATCTTGAAATTCTCCTTTCCAAACTCCAAAATCTCTCCTTGTTGAATAGTGTTTTAATGTGGTTTCATTCCTTCTTGCCTCATAGATTCCAAACAGTCGTCATCCCCAATAAAGCTCCTTCCTCATCCCTCTTATTAAATCATGGTGTTCCTCAGGGATCTTCCCTTTCACCAACTCTTTTCTCCATCTATATCAATAACCCCCCTGATTCCATCCTTCATTCACAATATCACCTATACGCTGACATCCTCCAGATCTACCGATCCTTTTATCCTCCAGAGATGCTTGAGGTGACCCGAAGGCTTCAAGAAGACTTAGACAATATCAACGCATGGGTAGCTAACTATGATTTCAGGCTGAACATTAAGAAGATGAAAGCCATTTTCATTGGATCTAAGCATTTCCTTAATTTCCTTTCTTATTATCCAATACTCTTCCTTAATGACCAACCTATTCGCTTAAAAATTTCTGTTTGAAACCTTGGGGTAATATTTGATGAATACCTGTCCTGGAATCACCATGTTTCCTAAATTATCAGAAAATTTATCGCTACTTTTAAACAGTTTCTGAGATTTTGCGATTCTATCCCTCTTAAAACCCGTCAGCTTCTAGTTTCCTCTCTTATTTTTCCAAACTTTGATTATGGCTGCCTTATATATGGTGGACTGTCTAGTGGACTTGAGGTTAGACTGAAAAGGCTAATGAATTGTTTCATTAGATTCATCTGCAGAGTCTCTAGATGCTCCCTCATCTCCAGTTGGTATTCCGAGTTAAAGTGGCTATATCCAGTTTCTCGACGGCAATATTTCTTTAGTGTTTTCCTTTTCCAAATCTTTACAACCAGAAAACCTTCTTACCTTTTTGACTTGTTTACTCTCTGTTCCTCTGTCCATTCTTTCAACACAAGATCCCAGCCAACAAACCTGTATTCCTTCTCATCAGACAGCTGATTTTGAAAAATCGTTTATAATGCAAGCTATCTGATTTGGAAGTGGATCCTTATCCACCCCCATACGCAAAACATCATCATTGACTTAATTTAAAAACCAATTGTTTCTCCATCCCCTTAGCTATCAATCTTCTGAATATTTATTAGAATTAAATATATTACTAATCTTATTCTACTGTTAATTCACAGTTATTGTTTATATTGCTTACCATGCAAATATGTAAACACGCAGTCATCTATTCATCTATAAGTTCATCACGTTATATGTATATATAGAGTAGCTCTTTATTACAATTTTAATATTAAACAACATTGTAACCTAATTATTATTTGCCAGACAAATCTTTGTTATAATATAATTGTCATTGTTCATGTTTGTTATTCTTAGGGGACTAAACGTCCCAGAATAAAATTTACCTACTTCTTCTTCTTTTTCTTATTAGTGAGACTATATGCTTTGTTTTGGAAATCAATAATAAGCTAATTATAACTTTTGTATCAATTTTGAGTTTTTACTTTCATTATTTTTATTGTACTATAAAACTGTAATTATATAAATAAAGGTGAATAACTTCTTCTTCTTCCATTGGCTCGACAGACCATTACTCCCTGGCCTCCTCCAATAACTTCCGCCAATCTGCACGCCATTGGGCGGCATTACTCCAGTCCCTGACCCCTAGGATTGTCCGGGCATCCTCTGCCATCCATCCATCTAAGACATGGTCTTCCTTTACGCCTGGTACTATGATTGGCCTCACTCATTATTTTTCTGGAGATCTCATCCTCTGACATTTGTGCTACATGGCCAGCCCACCTCAGTCTCTCCAGCCTAATATGCTTCACAATGTCAGGTTCACCAAGCAGATTATATATTTCTTGATTATCCCTCCTGAGGTATGTTTGACCGACTCTTCTAGTTCCATAAATGCGCTGCAGAATTCTTCTCTCGAAAGCCAATAAACTTTGTTCATCCATCCGTGATATTACCCATGACTCCGAGCCGTACGTCCGAATGATCAACCTCTAATACTTTTGTTAATAATTAATAATAATAATTTTGTTATCCTTGAGAGATACTTGCTCCTTAGATGTCTTCCTAGCCCAAAGTAACATCGGTTAGCAATGATTTTTCTCCTCTCAATTTCCTTTGTAATGTCATTTCTCGCAGTTATCAGGGATCCAAGGTAGACAAACTCATCCACTTTTTCAAACTCATAGGAGCACATTCATGCACATTATCTGCCAAGTTACCAAACTCGGAACTCATTTACTTGGTTTTCACAGCATTTACACGAAGTCCCAGTTGTCCGGCTGTTGCTTCCAGTGCAAGGAAAGTATCATGAACTGCAGCCTGGGATCTACCGACAATATCCAGATTATCTGTATAACCAAGAATCTGAACCATTCTATTAAACACTGTGCCTGTTATTTGGATCCGTGCATCTCGTATCGCTTTCTCTAATGCAATGTTGAAGAGCAGATATGCCAGCACATATCCCTCTCTCACGACATTCGTTGCAAAGCTCATCTTTGATAATTCACCATGTACAATAACCACATACATCGATTCTGCCATTGTTAATTTAACCAATCGAATAAGTTTCTCTGGGATGTTTAGTTCCCTCATCGCTTGATAAAGAGGTTCATGTAGTACACTATCATAAGCAGCTTTGAAGTTTAGAAACAGGTGATGCGTATGGATGCAATACTCTCTGCTTCATTCCGGTATAAGACGGAGTGAGAAAATCTGATCGACTGTTGATATATCTTTGCAGAATACGCACTGATATTTTCCCAGCAACCTCTCCACATTTGGCAGAAGTCTCATTTATAAAATGTTTAAAAATATTTTATGCGCACAAGGCAACAGCGATACACTTCAATAATTTTTACATTTAAGTACATTCCCTTTCTTGTGGATTGGGCACAGTATCGACTTTTTCCAAGAACTTGGCATTATTTGTGATGTCCACACAGATACAAATAGGTTCTGTAAGGCTTTAACCAGATTTCCGCCTCCTTTCTCAAAGAGTTCTGCGGGAAAGTCATTAATTTCAGGTGCCTTATGGTTTCTAAGCTTCTCAATTGCATCAATTGCAAACAACTCTTCCTCATCAGGCGGTTCAATCTCATTGCGCTTATTTCCTTCAGAGTTAGGATTCAATTGGTCAGCTTGACCTTGTCCGACGTTCAATAGTTTGTCGAAGTAGTTTTTCCACCTCCTCATTACCAGGTCCATGCTTGTAAGAAGAGTGCCGTCTTTATCCCTACATGCAGTGGTTCGTGGTTTAAATGGCTTTCACTCATTATTAATTCTTTGGTAAAAATTCCGATAGTCATTTGTATGCCTCAGCTGCTCAAGCTGCTTATTCTCTCAACTCCGTTTCTTCCTTCTGTGCACTTGTTTCTTCTTCATTCTTCTTTTGCGATAGAGAACCACCGATGCTCTTGTTTGTCTCTTCTGAAGCATCAATTTATATGCCTGACTCTTGACGTCAGTAACTCTTTTGCATTCCTCTTCGAACCAGTTAGCCCTTCTCTAGTAACATTCCATTCCGATTGTTTATTCGGCAGCTTTCCTAACACAACTTTCTATGCCACACCATATTTGTTCTATGTTGTAGGTATGCATAGGGAGAAGATCAAGTTCTCCATCAACCTTCAACACATATCGTTCCGACACATCGGTGTCCTTAAGTTTGCTGGTATTAATTTTTTTACTTCTTTGGCCCCTTTTGTTTTTCACATTGGAGATTCTTGATATTATTTTTGCTATTGAAAGATAATGATCCGAGTCAATGTTTGTACCTCTGTATGTTCTTACATCAAGAAGGTCTGACTTATGCCTGGCATTTATCAAAAGATGGTCTATCTGATTAACAGTGAGTCCATTAGGTGATCGCCATGTACCATTGTGTATATTTTTGTGAGGGAAGAGGGTGCTACCAACAATGAGGTTCTGTGATTCACAGAAATTGATAAGCTGATGTCCATTATCATTGCTTATTTCATGCAGGCTATTGTTGAGGTGTAACTTCTTTCTCTTCTGACTTTTGCATTAAAGTCCCCTGCATTAATCTTGGGCAGGTGCTTATTGTCCTGTCAGGCAGGTCATAGAATTCTTCCTTATTTTTTTCCTCAGAGGTCTCAGTTGGTGAGTGAGAGCTAATCAAGGTATAATCAAAGAATTTACCCTTAACCCTAAGTAAACAGAGTAGCGGGCTCACTGGTTTGAAATCCATGATCAAATCTTTACACCTCGCAGACACTACAAAGCCTGTTCCATATGTATCCAATCTGTCGTCACAGCTGTAGTAGATGGTGTGCTTCCTCTTTTCTAAATGGCCTTTGCCAGTCCATCTAATTTTCTGAAGCGCAATTATATCGGATTTGTATTGGTCCAGCACCTCCAGAAGTTGTTGAAGGGTTCCGGGACTGTATAGCGTCAGAACATTTCAGTATCCGATCGTGAAGTCCCTATGATGAGAGCCGCATTGCACTGTTCTTGGCAGTCCAGCCTGATTATTTTGAGGTTTCCTAATAATTTGGTTTTAGAGGAGAGGGTTATTAGCCCAGCTGCCTCCAATTCAGATGGAGGGGCTGCCTCCTTGAAGTCATCTAACTTGCTTCCCCTTCCGGGGTGGCTACCGGCTGAATTGGGAAGGTGACCCTAGGGTGTGTAGTGTTATTGACCTTAGTCTGTAGTTTAGGGGTGAGTGTGGTGTGCTGTTATTGGTGTAAAATTTTTGTAGGTAATAATGACTATTTTTATATTTTTGAATGTGTAAATGGAATTTCCATTGAAACTAATGGGAAATTTTAAAACTTATTTTCAAACCGAAGTTATATAGAACCTAGGGTTATCATAATTTATGTTTATCACTGTAAGTTTGTGTTTATATATTTTTTTTTTTACCTTATAGATATTTGGTCCATCTGAAATAGTCTTCTCCATCTATGCCTATCTTGAGCTATTGTTTTCAAATTTTCTGCATGCAGCTCTGCAACATCTTTGTTGATTAAATCAATCCATTTAGTTTATGACCTCCCGTATGGTTTCTTGCCTACCTACTATTCAGAACATCCATTGTTTTTTAGAGGCTTGCCAAGAACTCCCAGCTCGGTCGTGATCTTCCAAAGACAGTTTCTGTTCACAGAATCATAGGCCGCCTTGAAATCGACAAATAAGGTGTGCAGATCTTGAGCTACTTACTATTGATTTTCGAGCATCTGTTTTAGAATGAAGATCTGGTCTAGTGTGGTTCTCCATCTTCTTAATCCAGCTTGGTGGTTGCCCATTATATTTTCATAATACGGATATATCCTGTTATTCAGGATATTGCTTACTATCTTGTAGGCAACAGGAAGGATTAAATAGGATTGCCATGCCTTTATAGTCACTACAGCCGTATATGGAGCCCTTATTTAGGATAGAGAAGATTGGGCTCATCTTTCTTCCTCCTATATTTTCTGAATTGCTTGTAGAAGCTTGGCTCTGTGGTCTTCACTGGCATAGTATATCAGCTATGATGATAGTTTGCCCAACCCTAGGGTCTTTCAATAGATATTTCCACATCCAGCATATTTGGTTTTTCAACTTCTTGTAGGGAGTCAAGATTTAAAGTTTTTAATATGGTACTAAAAAAGTAATAAGAGACTCTCAGGTTCAAACTTCATGTACCGTAATGAATATAGATCAGTATAGATGTTAGCTTACGCAAGTGACATTGATATTGTGTGGGGATCCAAGCAAGTGGTAGTTGAGGCATTACCTGCTCTGGTAGCTGCTACGAGGCAGATGGGACTTGTTGTCAATGAAGCTAAAACCAAATATTTGGTTTCGGATTAAGCTCTGAGATTGACTGGCACCAATATTTCTTTTGGCTCATACAAGTTTGAGCCAGTCTCAGAGTTTGTCTATCAATGGTATCAATGGAAATCTGCAACAATGATTATTATGTAACAACAATGGATATTAGAAGGAGAATATTGGCTGTCAATCACTGCTATTTTGGATTCCAAGCAGTTGGTAACCAGGTGAACAAAACTTATTTACAGATCTTTCATTTCTCCTGTACTGTATTTGGACCACAATCAGGGCTGTAGACCAACTTCTCATATTTGAGTGATAAGTGTTACACCAAATTAATGGTGGTGTGTATGAGAACAGTGAATGGAGGCAGAGAAGCAATTGTGAGCTGTATGACCTATATCATGATCCGGACATCTTCTGTGCGATCAAGCTCAGAAGGCTCTTAGGGCAGGACATCGAGCCGGAATTTCCGTCAATCTACCTACCAAGAGAATTATGATCGAGCCTCTGTATAGTCATCGCAGAGTTGGAAGGCCAAAGCTGCGGTGGACAGATTATGGAGCCCATGACACATGAAAATATTTTAAGGTGTGAAACTTGATGGCAGCAGCACAGAACAAAGACGCTTGGTAGTTACTGTCAGAGGAAGTCAAGAGGAATGAATCCTTTATGGGTTGTAGTGCTATGAAAGAAGTGGGTCGAAGTGCTTAGTGTGGTCCACGTCTTTTTCGTTTGTGTATATCTTGCATATTCACATATATCTCCAGTTTGCCAGTTGTCCTCAATGGTTTGTAGTCTTTCTTTGGACAATTTTCTTTTTAATGACCTAATAATTTTATTTACCTTTTTCCTAGCTGTTGTATAATGTTCCAGAGGAACTTGGTCAGTTTTGGTTAGACAGAATATTTATAGCAGTAATTTTAACTCTTATTTACTTTAACATGGTCTATTTTAAACATTTTTTCATTAAAATTAATTTACATTTTCATTCCTTAAAATATCTGATGTTTCAGGCTGTATTTGCCCATTTTCCAGTCCAAAATACATGTCTCTAACATATGGTCATCAATAAATTTAAATTAAATACAATGAAATTGATTTCATTCTTCTTCTTCTCTCACTATCTCCTGTGTGCTGCTAATCGTCGAGTAGTTGCCTCAGACCATCTTATCCAACGGTCTCTGTCCTGTGCAAGCCTTCTTATCTCCGGCATGGTGCTTCCTCTCACTGTGCTAATTCTCTCAATCAAGTCTGCATACATATGCCTTGGTCTGCCTTGAGGTCTCCGTCCTCCTGGTCTTGCTTCTAGAAGCCACTTGGTCTTTCGGTCATCTCCCATTCTGTTAACATGCCCATACCACTTCAACTGCCTTTCTTCAGTCGTCTCTAGGAGGGATCTAACTCCTAGTTCATCTCACACCCTTTTATTCCTTATTCGATCTCGCCTGGTTTTTCCTAATATTTTCCATGGGAATCTCATTTCTGCAGATACAACCTTGCTGGCAAGGCGGTCCAAGAGTATCCAGCTTTCCGATCCGTATAGTAGCACTGGGAGAAAAACTGATTTAAATAGCAGAATCTTCACTTTTCTGCTCAACTCCTGCTTTCCAATGAGTGTCTTGAATATTTGGTAGTATATTCCATTGGTCTTTTGGACTCAATTCATGACCTCCTGGTCTATTCTTCCATCCTTGTCGATCATTATTCCCAGGTAGTATTAGATGTCGGTTTGCTCAAGGGTCTCTCCATTGCAAGTGATTCTAAGACCCTCGTTCCTTTGTCCAACAAACATAACCTTGCTTTTGGGGGGGATTGATCTGCATGCTTCTGAGTTGCAGTTCTTCTTGCCATTCATCCACAACGACCTGGAGCAATTCAGCAGTATCCTCAAAAATTCATTTCATCAATTTATTATTTGTTCCAAACTATTCCATAACATTATTCTTTTTATTATATAAGAAAAAGAAATAAAATAAAAAGAATAAGATTATGGAATAGTTTAGAACAAATAATAAATTGATGAAAATAAATTTCTTCTATTGCATTTAAATTTTTTGACATTCTTAAGTTTCAAATATGTATATTTGGACTTGAAAATGGGCAGTCCTGAATATCAGATGTTTTTATGAATGAAAATGTAATAAATCAATTTTAATAAAAGGATTTAAAATAGTCCTCACTAAAGTATTTAAGATTTAAAATTAATATACCCTTTTGAACTACAATATTAGGAAGTTCATAAGAAACTAAAATTATGATATTCTTAAGGCTTATTAACTTTTAAAAAAATTGATTTCTACTGAAAGTTGTGTAATAAGTGAAAGTTCTGTGATGTACTGCACCAGATTCTTCAATTAATCTTCATACCATTCATATTATATGGGACTTATACTAAAATTTTTTTTTATCATATTCAGCAAATTTGTATCTAACAACTTTTAAATATTACCATGAATTTACTTTTATAGGGGAGCAATGAATCAACTGAAGTAGAACTTGATCCTGAATTGATGTTATACTTGGATCAACTGCCATCTATTAATGTTAAGGTAATTAAATAAATGATAGATTATGGTTATACTTATATGAGTATTTTTATTTTTTTGTGTAAAAAGTATGTAATATTGTTGTAATGCTGTACAAAGCTTTACTAAAAACATCTAATTAATTTTAAAGTATAAATAAAAGCTGGCTTTTACTTACAATAAAATTTTAGTTGTTTTGTAAGTCATTCTATTGGAAAGGAAGGTTTTAATTTTGCCAGAAAAATTATCCTTCTAAAAAGTAGAATTAATTCTATTAGGAACTACAGTTTATTTTGGTGGACAAATCCCCTTCAGACATCTAATTTCATAAGAAGAAAATAATAATAATTTATAATTGTGGGTTGATGGTTGACTGTAGTGAATAATGAAGAGAAGTATAGTTGGGGAGATCAGTCAATAATAAAAATGGTAAAAATAAATAATAATATTTATTTTAACATTTGCCGACGTTTCGACCCGAAGTTCATGCCTTCATCAGGACTGAGAAAAGAACCAGATAACAATTGGTATGTGAAATATAAACAATGTAGGAAAAAAAAAAATTTAAGTCAAATTAGTAGATAAGTGAACATTAAAGTAAAATAAAGTAGGTAGAATAATGACAATAACAAGAACTAAGAAATAAATAATAATAAAGGTCATAAAGTGTGGACTAATGAAGTAAACATAATCAAAATAATATAACATAAGTACTAAAATGGTAATATTAGAATAAAATGTAAAACAGAGAAAAGTAATATGAAGTTATATAAGAAATAAATATAAATAGAAAAGTTGATATATTTTAAATAGAATAGTTAAATAGAAAATTGAGATATTGTGAAGTCTATCAAAATGAACTGACAACGTATAAGGGAATAAAGAGTTAATAAAGTAAAAAATAAATGAGCAAATGTATCAATATATACAAAGTGGAGATGAAAATAGAGTGAAAAGGAAAAGGAAGGAAGAATAAGATAAGATAGTCCACTGACCTGATCGATAGCTATTGATCGAAGAGATCACTATTGATAGAATGGAGGTATAGTAGCAAGAAGGGGACTGTATTGTTGCATCATCTCTGATGGTTGCCAGACAAAGTTTTGAAGTACCGGAAGCGTATATAATGGACAGGAGATATATTACAGATGAATATTATGAATAATTAAATGAAAGTTTAATTGAAAGGGGATGGAAATAATCTGGAAATAGAGATACATATTATGAATGAACAGAGATACAGATAAATATTATGAATAATTAAATGAATGTTTAATTGAAAGAAGATGGAAATGATCTGGAGATAGTATAAAACAGAGAAAATAAAGATTAAATAAATTATATCTCCTCATTGAGAAAAGGGAGAGAATTATTGAGTTCGCGTTGTACTATAAAGTTGAGGCGGGGATATTTATGTTGAACATAATTCTTACCACCCCCGCCTCAACTTTACAGTACAACGTGAACTCAATAATTCTCTCCCTTTTCTCGATCTCCTCATCATAAAGAATCCCAATAACACCATATCCACAGATTGGTACACTAAACCAACTTGCACAGGCAGACTTCTGAATTTCCATTCCAAACATCCTTACCACTAAAAAATTAATGTTTCTAAAAATCTCATCCTCCGTAGTCTCTCCCTCTCCAATCCTCAATTTCATGTTACCAATATCCAACGTATAAAACTGATCCTGTCAAACAATAATTTTCCTCTCCATGTCACCAACAAACTTATAAAAGACCATAATAATCGCTCCTCCTTAATCTCGACCTCCACCATTTCTTCACAATCCATTCCGGCCTCCATATACAGATCTCTACCTTATATTCCTAATCTTTCTGACAACATAAATAAAGTTTTACGATCTACTAACCCTAACTTACGACTTGCCTTCAAATCTCATGACACACTTTCTAATTTATATACATCCCTAAAAGATCCTGTTCCTCTTTCACACCACTCTCATATCATTTACCGTATTCCATGTTTTACCCCTAATTTTTTTCCTTCTATATCTGTGAAACCAAAAATCTTCTAAAAGACCTCATCACCCAACATAAATTTTCTGTATTCTCTCGTGATCTTATTGCCTCTAAATTATCCTAACATTCTCTCTCCCTAAACCATACATTTGATTTCGACAAAACTTTCATCCTTGGCTCCATCCCTAACCATGACAAATGACTCATCTCTGAAACCCTCCACATCCAGCTCCAGCCTAAGGCAGTGAATCTGAAAACAGACAAACAAATCTTATCATTAGCCTATTTCCAAATTCTGAATTTATTAAAACATCCATAACAATCTCCTTTTTCCTTTTTGCTGACAACTCCCTTATTTCTCTTTATATATATATATATATATATTATATATATAATTAATATATATATATATATATATATATATATATATATAAATATAATATATATATATATATAATATATATATTATATATATAATTATATATATATAATATATTAATTTCAAATATTCTCCATTATTACTTAACATTTATTTAATCTTTATTATCTCCGTTTTATATACTATCTCCAGATCATTTCCAACCTCTTTCAATTAAACTTTCATTTAATTATTGATAATATTCATCTGTAATATATCTCCTGTCCATTATATACGCTTCCGGTACTTCAAAACTTTGTCTGGCAACCATCAGAGATGATGCAACAATACAGTCCCCTTCTTGCTACTATACCTCCATTCTATCAATAGTGATCTCTTCGATCAATAGCTATCGATCAGGTCAGTGGACTATCTTATCTTATTCTTCCTTCCTTTTCCTTTTCACTCTATTTTCATCTCCACTTTGTATATATTGATACATTTGCTCATTTATTTTTTACTTTATTAACTCTTTATTCCCTTATACGTTGTCAGTTCATTTTGATAGACTTCACAATATCTCAATTTTCTATTTAACTATTCTATTTAAAATATATCAACTTTTCTATTTATATTTATTTCTTATATAACTTCATATTACTTTTCTCTGTTTTACATTTTATTCTAATATTACCATTTTAGTACTTATGTTATATTATTTTGATTATGTTTACTTCATTAGTCCACACTTTATGACCTTTATTATTATTTATTTCTTAGTTCTTGTTATTGTCATTATTCTACCTACTTTATTTTACTTTAATGTTCACTTATCTACTAATTCGACTTAAATTTTTTTTTCCTACATTGTTTATGTTTCTCATACCAATTGTTATCTGGTTCTTTTCTCAGTCCTGATGAAGGCATGAACTTCGGGTCGAAACGTCGGCAATTGTTAAAATAAATATTATTAATAATTATTTGCCATTTTATATTTGACTGATCATCCCAACTATCCTTCTCTTCATTAATAATTATTTAAGTGACTTTCAACTATTGAAAGTAGCTTCAACTGTTATTAGAATAATTTTTAGTATTCCTGAAAGTTAAAGAAAGGTAGTTATTATATACCTAGTGTAATTTGTAATTTTGTAATTTTTTAATCATTTGTAAGTATTAATAGTACACTTGGAGGTAAAAAGGCATTTAGGACCTATATTCACCTAATATTCAAATTAGGATGTGAAAATGGAATTACATCAAAATGATCGTCACAAGTTATTTGGTTGGTTTTTGGAAAAGGATCTTTTAGAGCTCTTTTTATTACTTTCAACCAGCCATTTCTCCTTTTATCCATTGGAAGACTGAAGAAAAACTTATCAGATACTTTAGTCTGTGAATATTTACACATTGACATGACACAACATGTCGTCTTGCTGAAAAGAACACAACTCAACATGGTCACAGAATACCTAAACTGGTAAAGTGTGTACTAGATGAAAAGTAAACAGTCGGTTAGACTTTGTGACATCATACCAGTCTCAGCTGTCAAGCATGATAATCTTCAGTAAGCCTGATGAAGTGACTGAAAATTAATATCTTTTGAACACTTTAGTTTTCACTAAAATGTTTTGTAATACATATGGGATAATAATAATTTAAAAAAAAATGCATATCTCCATTGCTTCTTGACCCAATGTTGACGTTTTCAACTTTCTAAAAATAAAATTCAAGAGAATTTTCTAAACAAAGATACACACACACTTACTTAAATGTATAATGGATTTAAATTAGAGTACAGGTTATCCTTAAATGATTTCATTACTTCCACATTATTTCTACCTAAAATCATAACTTATGATGCTTGATGAAAAATACTTTGAATTTTTAATAATAGATTATCCTAACCATTTATATTCTTAAAATCAATCTTTTTAATTAAAATCAAATATTGTCTACCATAAACTTTTTGCTAATTTACATGAAAACTTTGCTTTTTATTTACAGCAGGATGAAATTCAGAGAATAGTTAACCGTTATGTTTGTGATGACAGTATCAAAAGTGAGGTATGATTATTAAAATATTTATATTAATTAATAATAATAATTTAAACTGATAGAATGCATGTTCTTCTTCTTGTACTATAGTCCGAAGTGGTCCTTGCTCTGCTTCAACATATTCTGCCATATGTCTCTGTCTTCCATCATACAGATGCCCATCCATTACATATCCTCCAACACTTTGTCCTTTCATTGTGCTCTCAGCTGCTCCCTTTTTTTTGACTTACTTGAAATATACTTTCTTAGTAAATCTCTGCCGCCTCACTCACCTGGTTAACATAATCATTCCATAATCTATTCATTTTTATGGCATCAGATAAGTGCAAATCCTTAAATAAATTGTATATTTCTCTATTTTCCCTAATGCACCATCCCCATCTCATGTCTCATGTCTAAATCCATAATAATCCATGCCTCGCTTCCATAAGTAACTACTGGTCTAATCAAATTTAATACATGCGGGCCTTAGTGGTGCATGGTTACTCCTCACCAGACTTCTTAGTGTATAGTTTGTTCTGTTAGTTGCTAAAATCCTTCTGTTTACTTCTTTCTCATTGCACACACTGCTGTGCAAAAAGAATTTTGAAAAAGAATTTTTATATATATAAATATGTGATTACGTATAATTAAGTGATATGTCCAAAAAAAAAGATTGATGAGTTTGCTGTGTATCGAGCAACCCTAAACAGTAGGGCAGCACTGCTTTAAATAAAGTATTTCTCTCTCTTGTTGGCTTCAAGTGTCATTACGGATCCAAGTTACAGAAAAAACAGATATTACTTCAATATTTTTATCAGAGATGATATAGAAATCAGGCAGGGTGCTGTCTTCTTATTCTTTCTACAATCATTAGCTTGGTCTTCTCGATATTCACCTCTAGACCAACCCACAAGTGTCTAGGAAGCAAAATATTTTTGAGGAGGAGGAATCATTGGGTGCGATTGGCTTATACCGTCAATGCTCAGCCTCCCCTCTCCCTTCTCAGCTTTTTTAACTGTTCCCGCCCTGATGTGAGTAGGTTCGCTAACTTACGGCAACTGAATTCGATAGAAATGGAATGGATTTTTTTTCAAACTAAAGCAGTAGATTTGCACTGTTATTTTTCTCACCAATAAATTTCTTATTAATAACAATCAGAAACTGAAAGTCATAAGTCATATGTATTATATATCTTTGGAAAGCTGAGTATTGCAGAAAAAATATATATCTAGTGTGCAAAGTTGTAGATGGTAATGGAGGATGATGAAAAAAATTGTAATTAATAATTTATGAAAACCAATATTATTTATCGCAAATCAAATGTTTCCATGAAAAATAAATAAAATGTCCTAATTAAATGTAAACTATTAAATTTGAAAACAATTTATATAATCCACCGAATTAAGGCAATAGCATTGTTTAAAAAACTACTTTATTAAACTTGTGTGAATGAATTTATCGCCTTAAAACCCCTACCATAACCTCGTGTGAAAAAGGAAGTGACATATAAAAATATTTCACAGATAAGTAAAACACATGTTTATAATCTTGTATACATATACTGTAGTTTAATAACTTTATATCCGATATTATATTTAGATAATTAGGTATTTATAGTCAGGTTATTCTGAAAAATCGTTATGTCAATTAATGAATAATTTGATTATTTTTTAATCTGAGAATTTAAAACATTATTTACCTACAATTAGTGAGACAACTTTTGACCTAACGATGCTGTATTGAAAAGCTTGCGACTGTATTGTGGTAAATTGTACAATGGAAAAAAATAAGTTTAAATACATCTAAAAAGTGATAAAGATTTAATATGTATAATTTTTACTATATAATACAGTCCTTACTTTTTTTTTTAAAAGTGGCATGAATGCAATGCGGCCATGAAGGCCTATTGTACGCCTCTATTAAAGTCACGCCTATAGAGCCTAATTCGTGCAGTCTCAGTGAACTGTAGTAACCTTGTTGGATTGATGAGCTCGTTTGCCTTGGGATCAATCACCCTATCAATGCCGAATAGTCGGAATCTTAGTCCACCAAACCTGTTGCACAAACCTGTCATAAGTGATATGATTAGCCGTTTTATCCTCCTACACAATACCTACAGAGAGATGACTCCATAAGCCGGAGATTGAACATGTGATAATTCAGTTTAAAGTGTCCAGTATAAACTGCTGTCATTAATTAGTAGGTTGCTTCTTTTTTGAGATTCCTTCCAGGAACAATCTAGAGTGAGTCTGTTTTTTCATGCACCAGTTCTTTTTAACTTCAGCACCACAAATCTCCCCAATTCTGTTCTTTATTAGACATTGACTAATTCCACAGATGGGTTCAGGAGCTATGCGAATCTTTTGTAAGTCTAGTCTGGCTAGTTCATCCGCCATCTCATTACCATGAATTCCAGAGTGACCCGAAACTCATTCAATGTTTACCTTATTATGTCTGGATAAGTCATTGAGAATTCTCACACAATCCTCAACAGCGTTAGATCTAGTTGTATAGTTGTCCAGTGCTCGTATAGCCTCTTGACTGTCAGTATATATTGAAATTTTCCTCCCAGCTAACCCGTCAATCAACATTTTTGAGACACAGTGAGTTATTGCCAGTATTTCAGATTAGAACACTGTTGCATTATTTCCAATTCGTATTGACATGCCTGACTCTGGTTCATCCTTTCTCCAAAAAACCAGCACCAGATCCACATGTCATAAGTGACCCATCAGTATAACAATTAATCCTATTAATGGGTTTGTGTTTTCCTGAGCTGTCTATTTTTACATTATACATCTTTGTAAGAAATTCTCTAATCTGAATGTCAGAATGCATTGTGAGCAACCTGTCTGCCTCAATTTTTTGAACTATTTTCCAATTTCCCTCCTGAGTGTTTATCTTTGAACATAAGCTTAATTTTTGTAGCATGTAAAAAGTTTTCAAGGTCTGCTTTTCTATCTCCAATTGCAGAGGAAAAGTCCTTACCTGTGTATCAAAAAATATATATTCATCGGTTTATTACAAAAATTGAATTATGTGATATTTCATAACCTTACATCACAGAGAACTTTTAAAATTTTCCCTTTGTAAACTTAAAAAAATTGCAGTTGTAACTTACTAAATTTGATATATAAAAGGGTTTGTGTCATTTTAGTCTAAACAATGCTTTTTTAAAATAAATAAGGTCGAAATTCACAAAAACTAAAAGTTCAGCTCCATCCATGTCCTTAGCACTTTCTGCAATAAACTGAAGATGTACATTAAAAACTCTCTTTATATAGAGAGCTCAGAGTTATGTGGTTGAAATAGAATGATGGAGTTTTGGTGTTTTTATTGCCTAGAGTTGATATTCGTATTATTTTGATCACCTGAGTTTTTGTATTTATAAATTTGACCAAAATCATAAATATGTTCTTTAAAGTTCAGTTGGCCTTAATAATGCACTTCAAAAACTTTTCGTAACAGCCAATTTATCCCCACAATAATTCCTCTTCATAGTTTAACGGTAAGTGAAAATTGTGTGATGACCACACCAGATTATTATTCCCTTATTAATGATTAACGTTTAGAGGAATAATTTTTATGATCCTGAGGCTGAAGTAGGACCTGGAAACGTAGATCATATACAAAGTAATAAAAACAAATGGAAGATATGATTAACTTTATTTTTATTTTGATAACTTTTTTTTTTACAAACAATTTATTAAATTTTGGCAGTAAAATTTTAAATCTTCTATGGTTATGACAAGAAAAATAGATGAGACAAGAAAAAATTAGAGCAATAGTTAAAAATCAGAGAAATTGATAAAAAAATGTATAGTTGAAAAAAAATTAAACAATGGATAAAAAAAAAAGTTGAAAATAAAATATCAATTGATAAAAAGTAGATAACATGTTGAGAAATATCAAGAACAAGAGGTTAGAGAAAACTGAGGAGGGAAAGGGGAAGCTGAGTGTTGATGGTATAAGTCGGCCATACCCGATGATTGCTCCTCCTCCAAAATATTTTGCTCGCTCCCTAAACAATAGTGACCAACCCTTCTTGCTTCCTCTCTCAAAGCTATTTACTCTTTCTCAATTGCCTGCTTACATCTTTCTACAATTGCTAAGTCATCTACATATGTCATTATTTGTAGATATTTATTTATGATTTTATTGCTTGCATCTAGCTTTGCAATTTTCATATCCTTGTCCAGAAATAAGTTGAACAAGTTGGCTGCCAGGGCCTCTCCCTGTCTTAGTCCATTTTTTTTATTCATGGGTTTAGACAGTTTTGTTCTTATTTGACATTTTGAGTGCCTCATTGTCTTCTTGGTTAGGGATAATAGTTTAGGGAGGATTTTGGCATCTGCCATTGCTTCGTATACCTTTGATCTGTTGGTCCTATCATATACAGATCTTAAATCAATAAATAGCTGCCAGGTCACCATGTTATTAATATTCCTACATCTTTTCATCTATATGCATTTCTTCTAATATCTCATCATCCATAAGTTTGAATATTTTGGCATTTTTATTGTCTCCACCATGAGTTTTTTTCTTTTCAATTTGCAGATTCTTCGCATCTGTGTTATTCAGGTTTTTCTGCCTGAGTTTCTATATATATGATTGTGGCTGAGCCAGAAATTTTGTCATCTCTAGTGTTTAATAATTCTTGGAAATACACTTCCCATCTCAGTAGAATCTCTTAGTTTGAAGTATTCCTTCCTTGCTTCTGATCCAATTATTTACAGGTGTATAGCCTTTATTGATTGCTCCTATTTTTCTATAAAATTTTAAATTATCTTTGATCTATTTTTTCTCAATATCTAATATTTTTGTTTCTAATACACAATTATATCATACGAGTATATCAATTAGGAGGAAAGATTAATACAATATTAAAAGATTGAAACATAATAACGTAACAAAGCAATAGTTGATGTGGACTGAATTTTTTATTATCTTCATTTATTTGATATCTTGTTGTTTATGTTCAAGGTTGAAAATAATGAGAATAGCTGTTCCGATGCGATAAAGATTTTTTGTATTATTATGTACTTTTTTTCTAATTATAATTGTTGCTTTATTTAATTTTATATTTTAGGTTTCACATGATTTATATGCAGATCCGATTCCCAGCTGTTCTCATCAAAATGTAGAGACCCTGAAAGTTAGTATAAAATTGTTTCCATAGTTTTATTGGTATTTATTTTTTGTTATAATCTAGTAAGGTTTTTGCTACTTTATACTGTTGTTAGTTACTACTTTATACTTTGTACTGATGCTTCAGTACTTTATTATGATTATGTGTTTTTAGGTGCCAGATGATCCTTCAAATAAAGCTCCAAGTATTTCGTATCAAAATGTATGTATTTATTTTTATCTTTATTAATTACTTTTATATCCGCATTTATTATCTTCTATGATTATTTTCTCTATTAGTTTTGTATTATTGATTTCTCAGGGTTCAAATGCGAATCCTATTTCCTATAGCTTACATGAAAAGTTGAGTTTTGGCATGGTTAGTGTATTATCAACATTTTATTAATTTTTCTATTAATTCCTCATTTAAAAATAAATGTTATTCATTTTCCTTTGTATTATTATGTTGGCTATAAGTAAATTTAAAAAAAAGTTATCATATCATAAACAAGACAATGCCTAAATATTTTCATTATATGATTCACAAATTGAACAGAATTTTTAATTTGATGAAATAATCTTCTTCTTAGGGGAATTTCAAGGTTGGCAGGAGAAAAATTTCTCTTCTTATCAAGCTCAAGCCTAATCTTAGCCCTGGAACTAGTTTAATGTATTTATAGTATAATTAAAATGAACATTAATCAAATAGTTGATCTATTTGTCGTATTGATGCTACCACCGTGTAAGATTTCAATGCTGCCGATTACAAAAAATAAAGTTACCCACCCATTGATTTGAAAATACTCATTTTTTTTTTCAAGAAATACTTCTCAATGCTTTAACTAATTCCCATTTTTGAGAAATCAAATTTTTTAAATGCAATCTCAGTGTGAGATAAAAAAGTGTGAGCAGTTAAAATAACTAGAAATACATAAGTTCAGGTAGGTACATCTTTAACAATTATTAGACAACTCAATAGACAGATAAGACAGGTGGCTGACAGGATTTATACCAGTGTCGGAACTTGGATTTCAGCCAATGGGAACACTTTTAATTTGGCCACTCTCTTATTATAATAAACAATGTTATAACAATATTTTTGCTGTTTCTTTGAATTAGCATTAACGTATTCTTCTTCTTCCAAGGCACTACAACTCATGAGTTGACAATTTTATACTATTTTTTTTTTTCATCCTCTATAATCTTCATGAAGAGTCTTGGCATCCTCAAGACATTTCCGCCAGGCATATCTATTCTGCGCAGCCGCTTTCCAGTTACGTACACCAAGAAGTGCACGTGCATCCCTTGCCACTCAATCCTGCCATCACAGCCGTGGTCTTCCTACTCTTCTATAGCCTTGCTCATTGCTCTTCATAGTTTTTTGGGGGGATTTCATCGTTTTGCATCCCCGCCACGTGCCCTGCCCATCGCAGTCTTGCAAGCTTTATGGTTCTTATGATATCTGACTCCTTGAACAGATTGCAGAGCTCTGTGTTAAGGGCGGTCCAGATGCTCCATTTTGCACGTTTTGTCTGGGCAGTCTTAAGAGGGAATGAAAACGTTGTAATTTTTAGAGCATCCACAGGGCACAGACATATCTGTATATTTTGCTCAGTTTTGTGTGAGATCTGGTTGATTTTCGTTTTGTGTCTTGTTAAAAAAAAAAGATTGGAACATCTCAGAAGTACCCCAGAAGTATTCTTTTCAGTACACTCTTCTCAATGAATTTATTTTTTTCACAACTGTATCCCGGTTTTCCGTTGCTGAAATTTCTTTAAATTTATTTGCTGAAATTTCATACGCCTCCCCCTTCTTATCCCTGTCACTGTATTTTTTTTATTTAACACGCCAAATGCACGGGAAACTTTCATACAGATCAATAAAATAGGTTGAAAACTCGCTAGAACATTGCCAAAGGTCAGCCATTGTCGCCTGACAAACTGAAACTGAGTATCAAAATGAATCGGAAAACGGTGCTACCTTCCACATGCGCCGACTTGTCTGTGCAGTTCAAGGAAGTTTATGCTCTCTGGCTCAGTTTTACTAAAACTGTACTGTCTTCGAAATGGATTCAAAACTACACAGTTTTCCAGTCCACGCGCAACATTTTATCTGCAACGTTTTGAACTGCGCAGACAAAATGTTGTGCAAAATGGAGCGTCTGGACCGGCCTTTATATCTAATCCTCCAATTCTGTTCATTGCGCACAGGACCATAGATTCTGTGGAGCACCTTCCACTCAAATAACGCTAGGGCCCGCTCGTCTGCTTGCGTCATGGTCCATGCTTTGGAGCCATACATTAGTACCGGACAAAAGAGTGTTTTATAAAGCTGTGTCTTTGTGCTGCGAGAGATGAGTTTACTTTTGAAATGCTTATTTAGACAAAAATAGCACTTGTTTGCCGCTACTATCCTTCTTTTGATCTCTAGGTTTCCTTTGTTTTCTCTATTTACCAGAGATCCCAAATATATTAATTCATTAACTCTCTGGAACTTATAGTGCGTGATCTCCAGGTGCTGTTCTTATCTTGGTAGCACTACCTCCAATACACATATACTTGGTTTTTGCTTTGTTAATGACCAGTCCTAACCCTCTAACCACTGCTTTTAGTAGGACAAACGCTTCTTTCATATCATTCATCGATCTAGCCATTATGTCGATGTCATCGGCATATTCAAGTAGCTGTACTATCTTATTCAATAGCATACCAGTAGTCTGGATGCCAGAGTCCCTCACAGCTTTTTCGAGTGCCAGGTTAAATAGGAGGCATGTAGGAGCATCTCCTTGTCGCAGTCCTTTAGTTGTCATGAACCTCTGTGATAGGTCTCCCTGTACTCAGACGACCCACTCTACGCCCATAATGGTAATTCTGACAAGGCGGAACAGTTTTGGAGGTATATTCATTTCAATCATAGCCCTGTATAACTGCTCTCTTTCGATGCTATCGTAAGCAGCTCTAAAATCTATAAAGAGATGATGGGTTTTAACATTATATTCCATAGTTTTCTGCAGCAGCATTCTAAGGATGGATATCTGATCAGTTGTCGATTTTCCTGTTCTGAATCCACACTGGTATTTGCCAATCTCTCGCCTTGCAAACAGCAAAAACCTCTGGAAGAACAGTTTTGATAGATCTTTGTAAGCACTGGAGAGCAGAGAAAATCCTCTATAATTTTCACGGTTAAGTTTGTCACTTTTCTTGTATATAGGGCATATCACAGACTTGTTCTAATCCTTAGGTAATTTCTCTTTCGTCCAGATAGTCAAGAATAGCTTGTGTAAGAATTTTATTAGCTTGGTATCCCCATATTTGTATAGTTCACCTGGGATTCCATGAAATCCTGGGATCTTGTTGTTTATGAGCTTTCTTATTGCCTCCTCTACTTCATCATCATCTGGTGGTTCCAGATAATCATTGTTACTATAACCAGGTGTTACAGCATCCTTATCAATATTGTTATTTCTCAATCCTTCAGTAAGGAGATCTTCGAAATATCTTCTCCATCTATCAAGAATATCCGTCTTTTCTGTCAGAAGATTACCATTTCCATACATTTCCATCTCTGCATGAAAAAAACTACTGGTTGATAAGGTTCGTGGCCTTCGTTAATTTTTTGGTAAAATTTCCTCACTTTGTTTAGGTTCTTGTGTTCTTCAATGGCCTCCAACTCCTTCCTTTCGTATTCCCGTTTTTCTTATGTAACCTTTTTTCAATTCTTCTTTTTTTGCGACATTCCTCAGTTGCAGCTCGAGTATTTCTTTTTTGAAGCATTTTTCTATAGGCCTCATTCTTTGTTGCAGTCACCAAATGACACTTTTCATCGGACCAGGGAGATCTGGCTGACCTTTCCTTCTTACCTAGAACTTCTTCAGCATCCGAATCCAGCAAAACTTTAAATGCATCCTATATACGATCAATATTATTATCATCTGAAATATCTAGAGTTACTAATTTTTGATTTATTCGCTCATCATACACTTGACACACATCTAGATTTTTCAGATTATTCGTACCATACTTTACTTTCTAGTCTTGGATTACTGTTAGCTATCTCTGTTTATTAGCTCTAATTCTGGCAATACTTTTTTTTTTTTATTTCTTAATGACATTTACAACTGTATTACATTAATACATCAAGTAAATTTGGACATAATAGATATAATGACATGAATACACTTGCTGAGTAACTACCCAATGGTAGCACTCTAGACAATACTTAAAAAGTGATCACAATCAATTTGGGCTCCTCTGTAGGTTCTGGCATTGATCAGATTTGAGCGATGTCTTGCACTAATCAAGATATGATCAATTTGATTTATAGTTCCCCCATCTGGAGATTTCCACACACCTTTATGAATGTTTTTTTGTGGGAAGACTGTGCTTCCTATGATTAGGTTTAAGTTAGGTGCGGCAAAGTGCACTTATCTTTGTCCATTGTCATTACTGTCATTGTGCAGGCTATGCTGACCAATATTCGGGAAAAATACGCTCTCATTGCCAATATTTGAGTTAAATCACCCATTATTATCTTTATGTCAGCTCTAGGGCATGTATCTACTGTTCTTTCAAGAGTCTCGTAAAACTCATCCTTTTCAATTTCATCTGACATTTCCGTCAGGGCACTGAAAAGGCTATAATTGAAAAATTTCTCTTTTATTCTTAAGTAGCAAATTCTGGGATTTACAGGCTTAAAATCTGTATTTAACAAACTTGCATTCTTACGAACAATAAACCCGGTACCAGAGATATGTTGCTTACTATGACAGCAATAATGTATAGTATGGCTCTTCTTTTCGATGATTCCATGTCCGGTCCAACGTATTTCCTGGATGGTTGTTATGTCCAACTTGTATTCGTCAATGATATTTATAAGCATCTGCAGTGCTCCATGTCTATACATGCTTAAAACATTCCAATATCCAAAAATAAGATAAGATCTTTTTGACGGCCAAATCGTTTCCATGAGATCAATCTGGTTTTTTCGCTTTGAGATTCCCTGATAGTTTAATTCTGGATGTACGGGTTATCGGCCCATAGCATACGAGTCCGATGGTAGGGCTGATACCCTGAAGCCTTCAGACCTGCTTCCCCATCTGGAGTGGCTTCCTAGGGAAGGTAGCCCTAGGGTGTATGCTGTTAATGCCTCTGTCTCGGGTGTAATGTATGTGTATTGTTCTGGTGAGTGTGCATGCTGTACTGAGCTGTAGTATTCCTTGGGGGC